TCTAAAAGAAGACATTTTTATGTATTTCCCATAGGGTCCTATGTTAAACTAAGTCCCCCGCTGGCGGCCATCTTGGATGATGGATCGGCTACAAAGTAACAACACTTGGTCAGCACCTCATAAGGAACATTCATGCCATGTTTGGTTTCATTCCATTCAGTGGTTCTCTAAAAGAAGACATTTGTATGTATTTCCCATAGGGTCCTATGTTAAACTAAGTTCCCCGATGGCAGCCATCTTAGATGATGGATCGGCTACAAAGTAACAACACATGGTCAACACCTCATAAGGAACATTCATGCCATGTTTGGTTTTATTCCATTCAGTGGTTCTCTAAAAGAAGTCATTTGTATGCATTTCCCATAGGGTCCTATGTTAAACTAAGTCCCCCGCTGGCGGCCATCTTGGATGATGGATCGGCTACAAAGTAACAACACTTGGTGAGCACCTCATAAGGAACATTCATGCCATGTTATGTTTTATTCCATTCAGTGGTTCTCTAAAAGAAGTCATTTGTATGCATTTCCCATAGGGTCCTATGTTAAACTTAGTCCCCCGCTGGCGGCCATCTTGGATGATGGATCGGCTACAAAGTAACAACACTTGGTCAGCACCTCATAAGGAACATTCATGCCATGTTTGGTTTCATTCCATTCAGTGGTTCTCTAGAAGAAGTTCAAAATGTAAAAAGTTAACGCCGACGACGGACGACGCCGGACGACGGACGACGGACGCCAAGTGATGAGAAAAGCTCACTTGGCCCTTCGGGCCAGGTGAGCTAATAAAAAAATGAGTATTTGACACAGCATAGGTTTATGACACAAAATGAATGTGGTCAAAGAAATGAAAAATTTGAAATTGGAAATTTACCTATTATGGTCCAATATCCCAAATCTAAGTACATTGTTAAGATCAGCATATTAAAGAACCCCAAGAATTCAATTTTTGATGAGATAATTATTAATTAAATCATTCCTGTTCAAAGGGAAATAACTCAAAATAAACAAGAGACCAAATGACATAGAAATTAATTATTAATTATACCATTTCTGTTCAAAGGGAAATAACTCAAATTCATATAGTAATAAAATGCTCCGCTGGGCGCAGCTTGATACGACCGCAGAGGTCGAACCCTGAACAGTTGGGGCAAGTATGGACACAACATTCAAGCTTGATACAGCTCTGAATTTGGATTGTGATTAAATATTTGACACAGCATAGGTTTCTGACACAGAATGAATGTGGTCTAAGAACTTTAATTTTTTTAATTTACCTATTATGGTCCAATATCCAAAATCTAAATACATGGTAAGATTCAGCATATCATAGAATCCAAAGAATTCCATTTTTGATGAAATCAATCGAAGTTTAATTTTGGACCCTTTTGACCTCAATGTGGACCAATTTGATAACGGGGCCCAAAAATCAAAATACATGGTTAGATTCAGCATATCAAAGAACCCCATATATTCAATTTTTGTTGAATTTTGGACCCCAATTTGGACCAACTTGAAAACTGGGCCCATAGACAAAAATCTAAACACATGTTTAGATTCAGCATATCAAAGAACCCCAAGAATTCAATTTTTGTTAAAATCAAACTAAGTTAAATTTTGGACCCTTTGGACCTTAATGTAGACCAATTTAAAAAACTGGACCCAAAATTAAAAATCTATATACACAGTTAGATTTGACATATCAAAGAACCCCAATAATTCAATTTTTGATGAAATAAAACAAAGTTTAATTTTGGACCCTTTTGACCTCAATGTGAACCAATTTGATAGCAGGGCCCACAAATAAAAAAATCAAAATACATGGTTAGATTCAGCATATCAAAGAACCCCATATATTCAATTTTTGTTGAAATCAAACAAAGTTTAATTTTGGACCCCAATTTGGACCAACTTGAAAACTGGGCCCGAAATAAAAAATCTAAATACATGTTTAGATTCAGCATATCAAAGAACCCCAAGAATTCAATTTTTGTTAAAATTAAACTGAGTTTAATTTTGGACCCTTTGAACCTTAATGTAGACCAATTTGAAAACTGGACCCTAAATTAAAAATCTAAATACGCGGTTAGATTTGGCATATCAAAGAACCCCAATAATTCAATCTTGATGAAATAAACAAAGTTTAATTTTGGACCCTTTTGACCTCAATATGAACCAATTTGATAGACGGGCCCACAAATAAAAAATCTAAATACATGGTTAGATTCAGCATATCAAAGAACCCCATATATTCAATTTTTGTCGAAATCAAACAAAAGTTTAATTTTGGACCCCAATTTGGATCAACTTGAAAAATGGGCCCGAAATCAAAAATCTAAATACATGTTTAGAATCAGCATATCAAAGAACCCCATATATTCAATTATTGTTAAAATCAAACTAAGATTAATTTTGGACCCTTTGGACCTTAATGTAGACCAATTTAAAAAACTGGACCCAAAATTAAAAATCTATATACACAGTTAGATTTGACATATCAAAGAACCCCAATAATTCAATTTTTGATGAAATAAAACAAAGTTTAATTTTGGACCCTTTTGACCTCAATGTGAACCAATTTGATAGCAGGGCCCACAAATAAAAAAATCAAAATAAATGGTTAGATTCAGCATATCAAAGAACCCCATATATTCAATTTTTGTTGAAATCAAACAAAGTTTAATTTTGGACCCCAATTTGGACCAACTTGAAAACTGGGCCCGAAATAAAAAATCTAAACACATGTTTAGACTCAGCATATCAAAGAACCCCAAGAATTCAATTTTTGTTAAAATCAAACTAAGTTTAATTTTGGACCCTTTGGACCTTAATGTAGACCAATTTAAAAAACTGGACCCAAAATTAAAAATATAAATACACGGTTAGATTTGGCATATCAAAGAACCCCAATAATTCAATTTTTGATGAAATAAAACAAAGTTTAATTTTGGACCCTTTTGACCTCAATATGAACCAATTTGATAGCAGGGCCCACAAATAAAAAAATCAAAATACATGGTTAGATTCAGCATATCAAAGAACCCCATATATTCAATTTTTGTTGAAATCAAACAAAGTTTAATTTGGACCCCAATTTGGACAAACTTGAAAACTGGGACCGAAATCAAAAATCTAAATACATGTTTAGATTCAGCATATCAAAGAACCCCAAGAATTCAATTTTTGTTAAAATTAAACTGAGTTTAATTTTGGACCCTTTGAACCTTAATGTAGACCAATTTGAAAACTGGACCCTAAATTAAAAATCTAAATACGCGGTTAGATTTGGCATATCAAAGAACCCCAATAATTCAATCTTGATGAAATAAACAAAGTTTAATTTTGGACCCTTTTGACCTCAATATGAACCAATTTGATAGACGGGCCCACAAATAAAAAATCTAAATACATGGTTAGATTCAGCATATCAAAGAACCCCATATATTCAATTTTTGTCGAAATCAAACAAAAGTTTAATTTTGGACCCCAATTTGGATCAACTTGAAAAATGGGCCCGAAATCAAAAATCTAAATACATGTTTAGAATCAGCATATCAAAGAACCCCATATATTCAATTATTGTTAAAATCAAACTAAGATTAATTTTGGACCCTTTGGACCTTAATGTAGACCAATTTAAAAAACTGGACCCAAAATTAAAAATCTATATACACAGTTAGATTTGACATATCAAAGAACCCCAATAATTCAATTTTTGATGAAATAAAACAAAGTCTTCCTTTATAAATATGCATTTCTTTAAACATAATTTAAAAGCAGTGTAAGGGAAGTAATCAAAACGTTGTACGTGGATTACCTCCCTTACACTGTTTTAAATTGTTTTAATTGTTCATTAACCATTACTTTATACATAATTTAAAAGCAGTGTAAGGGAGGTAATTCTAATGATGAATTTGATTTATCTCCCTTACACTGCTTTAAATTATGTTTTGTACTAAAGTATTTGTCCATATAAAAATGCTTGTTTTTTGCCCCTTTTTTGGCCCCTAATTCCTAAAATTTTGAGGCAATTACCCCCAAAATCAATCCCAGCATTCCCTTTGTGATATGGAACCTTGTGGTACAATGTCAGAGAGATCCATACACTAACACACAAGTTATGTCTGGAAGTTACAAAAATGCTTATTTTTGGCCTCTTTTGGCCCCTAATTCCTTAACTGTTGGTACCATTGCCCCCAAAATCAATCCCCACCTTCCTTTTGTGGTATTGAACCTTATGGTAAAATTTCATTGAGATCCATTCACTTAAACTAAAGTTAGAGTGCGAAAACTAATGTGTCTTCGGACGACGACGACGACGCCAACATCATACCAATATACGACCACTAAAATTTTTTGCGGTCGTATAAAAATCACTTTTGTTTCTGAAAGGTCTACAACTCAACAACGAAAAAAGCTAAAATGGTGAAAATTAAACTTGACCTTCATTTAGTCACAGGAAACAACATATCTTAATTTGAAAAGATTTCGTCAAAGCGTTTTCATGTTAATGAACGGACACTGTTTGGCAGCCACCCCCCCCCCCCCCCCCCCCCCCCGCCCACCGCCGTACATCTCCAAATCAAAAACCAAAAAACAATTTATTATTAAAAATTAAGAAAACTTGCTCTCGTCTTGTTTGCTCTAGAATATGAAATAAAAAACATCTGCTAATTTTGTTGAATATTGAAGAAATCACATAATAATAAATTCCTGAATTGAAACATGACAACTAAGCTTAGTTAAAAGCTTGTTAAGTGTGGATTTAGCGCCCCAAATATATGATGTTGTCGATTCAAAATGGTGATAACAAATAATTGCATTAGAATTTTAAATTGTTTGTTTAAAACCAATTTTGTAAGATTTCTCTCCTGAAGTATTTTGGTTTTGCGGCATTTGATTTCTTAGTTTTATATTTCTTTATATTTTGTAACTTATTTTCTACTTGATTCATTCTAAGTGTAAGCGTTTGTAATTCAACACCATATCTATCACTATATGTACCTGTAAGTATTCCATCACTTCTTTATACTGGAGAAATTTATTTTCTGCTGCTAGATCGTATGGCGTCTGACCCTGAAATACAGACAAATCTTTATATTGCTTTCACCTGTTACAAAGAAGGCTTCTGTAACACATAATATCTTACAATTAGTAAGACCAGTAGCAGCTGAGTGGTGATTTTTTTTATCTTAACAGATGCTAACCATATATATATAACTCATGAGACGACATTTCGATTATTTTTCACAATTTTGTGAAGACTTTAAATAGGCTTTTAACTCTTTTTTTTTTAAAGAATCAGAATAAAAGTTCCATCTGTCACCATTTGGTCCTGTTATTTTCTTTGCAGTCTGAAGATTGGTAAATGCATCCTAATGTCTACATGAGGTGTGGATGAGTTTGGGGGTCTTCATTTTTAACTATCTTTTCTAATTTTGTGGGCACATTATTCACAGTTCTTTATATTTTTAACATCCCAATATTATTCTCTATTTTTTATATTTTTGTACCCAATCCTTTTCTATTCATTAATTCTACCCATCCAAACCCTCCTATATCTGTATACCCCATCAAAACCCTCCTATATCTGTATTACCTATCCACACCCTCCTATATCTGTATACCCCATTTAAACCTTCCTATATCTGTATACCCCATCCAAACCCTCCTATATCTGTATACCCGATTTAAACCCTCCTATATATTTGTATTACCCATCCGAACCCTCCTATATCTGTTTTACCAATCCAAACCCTCCTATATCTGTATACCCAATCAACACCCTCTTATACCTGTATTCCCCATCCAAACCCTCCTATATCTGTATACCCCATCCACACCCTCCTATATCTGTATACCACATCTACATCCTCCTATATCTGTATTACCCATCCAAACCCCCCTATATCTGTATACCCAATCCACACCCTCTTATATCTGTATACCCCATCCACACCCTCCTATAGGGAAAACGGTAGTATTTATTCTGCCATAGGCGACAATACTAACATTTTCTAAATTTACCACTTTTTATAATAAAAACCTGGACAAAACAGTTATGTGTGGTATTAGTACTTTATTATTCTGTTTTAAAAATTGAAGTCAAATAGTATCATGACCAACATCCAACGGAGCTTGTTTATGTTATCCATGCCCACCGTCATTTTACACCAAATTTATGAAATTTTGGAAGTCTTTTCGAACAATTCTCTAGAAAATATTTCAATGGGTTTCCAAATTTATATTGTAAATATACACACTGCAGTTATTCATAGATAAAAAAAAAATATATATATTGTACCCTAATAAAATCTCAGGTCATAACGCTTACGAACTTTTTTCCAGCTGAATTTAAGTATTTTAGGGGACATTTTTTTATATTTTAAAACAAGCAATTTCCAAACCATGAAAAGTAATGGTAAAGTATTAACTGAAAATAATTTTAAAGTATTATTATCAATGCACTTCTGGCTATGATAGATTAATGTTTAACACTTTAACAATTTCCTTGATTATATTCAATTCACAAGTCACAAGGAGCTCAGTATGCATCTATCATGTCTATCTGTAGAGTTTTATACATTATTTCTAGAGATGATGATGGGGGTTATTAAAGACCTTGACTGGCTATACAGCCCTCGCACGGTAGTTGATATTAGAGTATAATAAAAAAAAGTTAAACATTTAAAGGAAGTAGAGATGAAAACCAGAGGCTCTAAAGAGCCTGTGTCGCTCACCTTGGTCTATGTGCATATTAAACAAAGGACACAGATGGATTCATGACAAAATTGTGTTTTGGTGATGGTGATGTGTTTTGGTGATGGTGATGTGTTTGTAGATCTTACTTTACTGAACATTCTTGCTCCTTACTATTATCTCTATCTATAATGAACTTGGCCCGGTAGTTACAGTGGAAAATACTTTGTAAAAATTTACAAAAATTTACAAAATTTATGAAAATTGTAAAAAATTGACTATAAAGGGCAATAACTCCTTAAGGGGTCAATTGACAATTTTGGTCATGTTGCCTTATTTGTAGATCTAACTTTGCTGTACATTATTGCTGTTTACAGTTTATCTCTATCTATAATAATATTCAAGATAATAACCAAAAGCTGCAAAATTTTCTTAAAATTACCAATTCAGGGGCAGCAACCCAACAATGTGTTGCCTGATTGGTCTGAAAATTTCAGGGCAGATAGATCTTGACCTAATGAACAAATTAACCCCCATGTCAGATTTGCTCTAAATGCTTTGGTTTCAGAGATATGAGCCAAAAACTGCATTTTACCCTATGTAATATTTTTTAGCCATGTCGGCCATCTTGGTTCGCGGGCGGGGTCATCGGACACATTTTTTAAACAAGATACCCTAATGATGATTGTGGACAAGTTTGGTTAAATTAGTCTTAGTAGTTTCAGAGGAGAAGATTTTTGTAAAAGATTACAAAAATTTACGAAAAATGGTTAAAAATTGACTATAAAGGGCAATAACTCCTTAAGGGGTCAACTGACCATTTTGGTCAAGTTGACTTATTTGTAGATCTTACTTTGCTGAACATTATTGCTGTTTACAGTTTATCTATATCTATAATAATATTCAAGATAATAACCAAAAGCTGCAAAATTTTCTTAAAATTACCAATTCAGGGGCAGCAACCCAACAATGTGTTGCCTGATTGGTCTGAAAATTTCAGGGCAGATAGATCTTGACCTAATGAACAATTTAACCCCCATGTCAGATTTGCTCTAAATGCTTTGGTTTCAGAGATATGAGCCAAAAACTGCATTTTACCCTATGTACTATTTTTTAGCCATGTCAGCCATCTTGGTTCGCGGGCGGGGTCATCGGACACATTTTTTAAACAAGATACCCTAATGATGATTGTGGACAAGTTTGGTTAAATTTGTCTTAGTAGTTTCAGAGGAGAAGATTTTTGTAAAAGATTACAAAAATTTACGAAAAATGGTTAAAAATTGACTATAAAGGGCAATAACTCCTTAAGGGGTCAACTGACCATTTTGGTCAAGTTGACTTATTTGTAGATCTTACTTTGCTGAACATTATTGCTGTTTACAGTTTATCTCTATCTATAATAATATTCAAGATAATAACCAAAAGCTGCAAAATTTTCTTAAAATTACCAATTCAGGGGCAGCAACCCAACAATGTGTTGCCTGATTGGTCTGAAAATTTCAGGGCAGATAGATCTTGACCTAATGAACAATTTAACCCCCATGTCAGATTTGCTCTAAATGCTTTGGTTTCAGAGATATGAGCCAAAAACTGCATTTTACCCTATGTACTATTTTTTAGCCATGTCAGCCATCTTGGTTCGCGGGCGGGGTCATCGGACACATTTTTTAAACAAGATACCCTAATGATGATTGTGGACAAGTTTGGTTAAATTTGTCTTAGTAGTTTCAGAGGAGAAGATTTTTGTAAAAGATTACAAAAATTTACGAAAAATGGTTAAAAATTGACAATAAAGGGCAATAACTCCTTAAGGGGTCAACTGACCATTTTGGTCAAGTTGACTTATTTGTAGATCTTACTTTGCTGAACATTATTGCTGTTTACAGTTTATCTCTATCTATAATACTATTCAAGATAATAACCAAAAACGGCAAAATTTCCTTAAAATTACCAATTCAGGGGCAGCAACCCAACAACGGTTTGCCTGAATGGTCTGAAAATTTCAGGGCAGTTAGATCTTGACCTAATGAACAATTTTAAACTCATCAGATTTGCTCTAAATGCTTTGGTTTCAGAGATATGAGCCAAAAACTGCATTTTACCCTATGTACTATTTTTTAGCCATGTCGGCCATCTTGGTTCGTGGGCGGGGTCTTCGGACACATTTTTTAAACAAGATACCCTAATGATGATTGTGGACAAGTTTGGTTAAATTTGTCTAAGTAGTTTCAGAGGAGAAGATTTTTGTAAAAGATTACAAAAATTTACGAAAAATGGTTAAAAATTGACTATAAAGGGCAATAACTCCTTAAGGGGTCAACCGACCATTTTGGTTAAGTTGACTTATTTGTAGATCTTACTTCGCTGAACATTATTGCTGTTTACAGTTTATCTCTATCTATAATAATATTCAAGATAATAACCAAAAGCTGCAAAATTTTCTTAAAATTACCAATTCAGGGGCAGCAACCCAACAATGTGTTGCCTGATTGGTCTGAAAATTTCAGGGCAGATAGATCTTGACCTAATGAACAATTTAACCCCCATGTCAGATTTGCTCTAAATGCTTTGGTTTCAGAGATATGAGCCAAAAACTGCATTTTACCCTATGTACTATTTTTTAGCCATGTCAGCCATCTTGGTTCGCGGGCGGGGTCATCGGACACATTTTTTAAACAAGATACCCTAATGATGATTGTGGACAAGTTTGGTTAAATTTGTCTTAGTAGTTTCAGAGGAGAAGATTTTTGTAAAAGATTACAAAAATTTACGAAAAATGATTAAAAATTGACTATAAAGGGCAATAACTCCTTAAGGGGTCAACTGACCATTTTGGTCAAGTTGACTTATTTGTAGATCTTACTTTGCTGAACATTATTGCTGTTTACAGTTTATCTCTATCTATAATAATATTCAAGATAATAACCAAAAGCTGCAAAATTTTCTTAAAATTACCAATTCAGGGGCAGCAACCCAACAATGTGTTGCCTGATTGGTCTGAAAATTTCAGGGCAGATAGATCTTGACCTAATGAACAATTTAACCCCCATGTCAGATTTGCTCTAAATGCTTTGGTTTCAGAGATATGAGCCAAAAACTGCATTTTACCCTATGTACTATTTTTTAGCCATGTCAGCCATCTTGGTTCGCTGGCGGGGTCATCGGACACATTTTTTAAACAAGATACCCTAATGATGATTGTGGACAAGTTTGGTTAAATTTGTCTTAGTAGTTTCAGAGGAGAAGATTTTTGTAAAAGATTACAAAAATTTACGAAAAATGGTTAAAAATTGACTATGAAGGGCAATAACTCCTTAAGGGGTCAACTGACCATTTTGGTCAAGTTGACTTATTTGTAGATCTTACTTTGCTGAACATTATTGCTGTTTACAGTTTATCTCTATCTATAATAATATTCAAGATAATAACCAAAAACGGCAAAATTTCCTTAAAATTACCAATTCAGGGGCAGCAACCCAACAACGGTTTGCCTGATTGGTCTGAAAATTTCAGGGCAGATAGATCTTGACCTAATGAACAATTTTAAACTCATCAGATTTGCTCTAAATGCTTTGGTTTCAGAGATATGAGCCAAAAACTGCATTTTACCCTATGTACTATTTTTTAGCCATGTCGGCCATCTTGGTTCGTGGGCGGGGTCTTCGGACACATTTTTTAAACAAGATACCCTAATGATGATTGTGGACAAGTTTGGTTAAATTTGTCTTAGTTGTTTCAGAGGAGAAGATTTTTGTAAAAGATTACAAAAATTTACGAAAAATGGTTAAAAATTGACTATAAAGGGCAATAACTCCTTAAGGGGTCAACCGACCATTTTGGTTAAGTTGACTTATTTGTAGATCTTACTTTGCTGAACATTATTGCTGTTTACAGTTGATCTCTATCTATAATAATATTCAAGATAATAACCAAAAGCTGCAAAATTTTCTTAAAATTACCAATTCAGGGGCAGCAACCCAACAATGTGTTGCCTGATTGGTCTGAAAATTTCAGGGCAGATAGATCTTGACCTAATGAACAATTTTACCCCATGTCAGATTTGCTCTAAATGCTTTGGTTTCAGAGATATAAGCCAAAATCTACATTTTACCCCTATGTTTTATTTTTAGCCATGGCGGCCATCTTGGTTGGTTGGCGGGGTCATCGGACACATTTTTTAAACTAGATACCCCAATGATGATTGTGGCCAAGTTTGGTCAAATTTGGCCTAGTAGTTTCAGAGGAGAAGATTTTTGTAAAAGTTTACGGACGACGGACGACGGACGCAGGACGACGGACGCAAAGTGATGAGAAAAGCTCACTTGACCTTTCAGGTCAGGTGAGCTAAAAACTAGATATCATTGAGATGGGAGCCATCTCTGTGGGCCCCGCTGAGAATAACATGAGGTAAAAAATTTGTATCTTTATCATTGGACATGTGGTTGTCAACTGAAACCAAAGTTTATGACCTTGACCTTTGACCTAGGAAGATGTATATAAATTATGACACACCCTATGGTGTTGGTTTATATACATGTCAAGTATAAACTTTGAAATCATAACAGTTCTCAAGATATAGAGCGGACACGATCTTTACCATAGGACATGGGGTTGTCAACTTAAACCAAAGTTTTTGACCTTGACCTTTGACCTAGGAAGTTGTACATACATTATGACACACCCTCTGGTGTTGGTTTATATACATGTCAAGTATAAACTTTGAAATCATTCCAGTTCTCTAGATATAGAGCAGACACAATTTGTTACAGACGGAAGGACGGACAGATGGACAGACAGATTGATCACTATAGGGCGTCTGCCATTCGGCGAGGCCCTAATAATTTTCAACTATTTATTTTCTAATTGTTCTAAGGTAGAAAAATAATAAGTAATAATCTTATATGTATTTGCATTCAATTTGTTTTAGATTTAACCTTTTTTACAAAAATAAACATAAATTTAAGGAGTATATTGTGAAAGGTGACAAAAAGGTGAAGTAATTAAATTTTTTGTGAAACAACTTTGAAATACACAAATTATTTTTGACCTAAAGCTAAGGTAATTGGTGTTAATTAACAGTGTGTTTGACACCAAAGCTGTCAAATAAAGCCATGCACTGAAATGGGTCACTTAATTTGAGTTTACACAGCTAGTTGAACTTCTTGTAAAGGAAGAATTACGAATTTGCCGGTATTTCAAAGGAAATCAGTCTGAAGGCTAAAGAATCCGGTTGAAAACGGTGTGAAAAAATATTTAAATGGGTTTCAAAATTTATATTGAAAATATACACACTGCAGTTATTCATAGATAAATAAAATAAAGTTAGAGAACGGAAACTAAAAATTCAGCAATTTTTATGTTTATAAAGGGACATAACTCAAGAATGGTAAAAGTGTTCTCACCAAATTTTGTACTTAATCTGTATTATGTAGTAATAAGCATTGTGTATAAGTTTCATAACATTTGGTTGAGGCAAACTAAAGTTCGAAAACGGAAACAAAAAAATTGTACTTGATCTTAGTTTTGTGGTAATGAATATTGTGTATAGGTTTCATAATGTTTGGTTGGGGCAAACTTAAGTTACAGAATGGAAACTAAAAATTTTGCAATCTTTCGATTTACAAAGGGGCATAACTCAATAATGGTTAAAGTGACACTACCCAAATTCAACTTGATCTGTGTTTTATCAGTGGAAGTAAAAATTAAACATTGCTTTGTATAAAGCATTGATTGTAGTTGATTCAACTATAATCATGGACAAAGGAATATAACTCCAATTTCAAAAATTAATTGATATTTAGAAAAAAATAAAAATTTTGCAATTTTTCCATTTATAAAGGGGTATAACTCTAGAACAGTAAAAGTGACGCCACCAACATTCAAACTTGATCTGTGTTTTACTAAAAATTTTGCAATTTTTCCATGTATAAAGTGGCATAACTCTAGGACGGTTAAAGTGACGACACCAAAATTCAAACTTGATCTGTGTTTTGTGGTAATAAGCATTGTGTATAAGTTTCATAACATTTGGTTGAAGCAAACTCAAGTAAGAGAACGGAAACTAAAATTTTTGTAATTTTTCCATTTATATAAAGGGGCATAACTCTAGAACGGTTAGAGTGATGCTACCAAAATTCAAACTTGATCTGTATTTATTGGTAATAAGCATTGTTATAAGTTTCATAAAATTTGGTTGAAGCAAACTTAAGTTAGAGAACGGAAACTAAAAATTTTCCATTTCCATTTATAAAGGGGCATAACTCTAGAACGGTTAGAGTGACGCCACCAAAATTCAAACTTGATCTCAGTTTTGTGGTAATTAGCATTGTTTATGAGTTTCATAACATTTGGTTAAGGCAAACTCAAGTTAGAGAACAGAAACCAATTTTTGGATGCACGGACGGACGTACGTACGTACGTACTTACAGACGGACAAGGGTAAAACTTATAAAAATATATATTGTACCCTTACATCTAATCACAGCGCTTCTAAGTTGACTTCCTTCACCTGCCTTGGGTACACAAAAGGCCAACCTAAAGCCGGGAAGATGTAATACTACTTTTTTCTCTATATCTGTATACCCAATCCCCATCCTCCTATATCTGTATACCCCATCTATACCCTACCCAATCCACACCCTTCTTTATCTGTATACCCCATCCACACACTCCTATATCTGTATTACTCATCCACTCTTTCCTATATCAGTATTCCCCATCCACACCCTCCTATATCAGTATATCCAATCCACATCCTCCTGTATCTGTATTACCCCTCCACACCCTTCTCAACCTCTATACCCCATCCACACCCTCCTATATGTGTATACCCGATCCACATCTTCCTATAGGTGTATACCCTATCCATCCCCTCCTATATCTGTATTACCCCTCCACACCCTACTCAACCTCTATACCCCGTCCACACCCTCCTATATGTGTATACCCGATCCACACCTTCCTATAGGTGTATACCCTATCCATCCCCTCCTATATCTGTATTACCCCTCCACACCCTTCTCAACCTCTAAACCCCATCCACACCCTCCTATATGTGTATACCCCATCCACACCTTCCTATTCCTGTATATTCCATTCACACTCTCCTATATGTGTATACCCCATCCACACCCTCCTATATGTCTATACCCCATCCACACCCTTCTATATGTGTATACCCCATCTACCCCTCCTATATCTGTATTACCCCTTCACACCCTCCTAAACCTCTATACCCCATCCACACCCTCCTATATGTGTATACCCCATCCACACCATCCTATATGTGTATACCCCATCCTCACCCTCCTGTATGTGTATACCCCATATACACCCTCCTATATCTGTATACCCTATCCACACCCTCCTATGTCTGTATCCACACCCTCCATAAAACTTTTTCATATCTTAAGTTAAATTTAAAGGATCAGATGACTTTTGACTATTGCCTTGAAAAAGAATCAATTTGACCAAATATATCTCATACATCATTTTAGTGATTCATTACTTAATAGTTGAACACTTGGTATATACTATGAAATATTACCTGATGTGATTTAACCAAGGGACTGGCACCTCCTTGTTCTACTAGACATCTTGTGATCTGTAGATATCCATACTGAGCAGCCCAATGTAAAGCTGTGTATCCACTCATCTATAATATAACCAAATAACATGTCAATATTATGTACAATACTTTGTTATCAATATCAATAATATACAACATATCCTACAACTGACATTAAAACTGGTCTGATAAACTGGACAATGTTGTGTAATAAATATAAACAAAATATATATCACATGAATCAGTGGTCAAAACTCAATACAATGACCAGTCACACTTGTATTTATATTCTATATAAACAATAAATAAACATGTTTTGTTGTGAAATGTCAAAACTTCCATTAAACCTGATAACCTAAAAAAAAAAAAATTTCAAGAAATGCGTAAAATAATTATATCAATGGATTCAGTAGAACAAAACAAGTAAAATGAGACCCCACTTTATATGATTCTTACACATATTTATTCATTAAAACTGTCTGATTAACAACAGGATTTAGTGTAGATTCAGTTGAATAATTCATTTACAAAAAATATTTTTTTTAAAGAAACATGAAAAGGAGTAATTTTTTCTGATTCAGAACAATAATATGAGTAAAATGAGACCCCACTTGATATATTTATTACAAATATTTGTTCATTAAAACTGTCTGATTAACAACATGATTTTGTGTTGATTAATAGTAATGTGATCAGACTAAGTAGATAACATACATCTGTGGTGTCGATCTTACATCCTGTATCAATGAGAAGTCGACAGATCTCCAGGTGTCCTTCACTGGCAGCCTCCATTAATGCTGTCCATCCATCCTCCTGGAATAATACAACTGACATCAAAACTTGTCTGATAAACTGGACAATGTTGTGTAATAAATATAAACAAAATATATATCACATGAATCAGTGGTCAAAACTCAATACAATGACCAGTCACACTTGTATTTATATTCTATATAAACAATAAATAAACATGTTTTGTTGTGAAATGTCAAAACTTCCATTAAACCTGATATCTTAAAAAAAATTTTTTTTTCAAGAAATGTGTAAAATAAATATATCAATGGATTCAGTAGAACAAAACAAGTAAAATGAGATCCCACTTTATATGATTCTTACACATATTTGTTCATTAAACCTGTCTGATTAACAACAGGATTTAGTGTAGATTCAGTATAATCATTCATTTTAATAAAATATTTTTTTTAAAGAAACATGAAAAGGAGTAATATTTTCTGATTCAGAACAATAATATGAGTAAAATGAGACCCCACTTGATATAATTATTACAAATATTTGTTCATTAAACCTGTCTAATTAACAACATGATTTTGTGTTGATTAATAGTAATGTGATCAGACTAAGTAGATAACATACTTGTGTGGTGTCGATCTTACATCCTGTATCAATGAGAAGTCTACAGACCTCCAGGTGTCCTCCCTCGGCAGCCCTCATTAATGCTGTCCATCCATCCTCCTGGAATAATACAACTGACATCAAAACTTGTCTGATAAACTGGACAATGTTGTGTAATAAATATAAACAAAATATATATCACATGAATCAGTGGTCAAAACTGAATAAAATGACCAGTCACACTTGTATTTATATTCTACATAAACAACAAATAAACATGTTTTGTTGTGAAATGTCAAAACTTCCATTAAACCTGATATCTTAAAAAAAAAAATTTTTTTCAAGAAATGTGTAAAATAAATATATCAATGGATTCAGTAGAACAAAACAAGTAAAATGAGACCCCACTTTATATGATTCTTACACATATTTGTTCATTAAAACTGTCTAATTAACATCAGGATTTAGTGTAGATTCAGTATAATCATTCATTTTAATAAAATATTTTTTTAAAGAAACATAAAAGGAGTAATATTTTCTGATTCAGAACAATAATATGAGTAAAATGAGACCCCACTTGATATAATTATTACAAATATTTGTTCATTAAACCTGTCTAATTAACAACATGATTTAGTGTTGATTAATAGTAATGTGATCAGACTAAGTAGATAACATACTGATGTGGTGTCGATCTTACATCCTGTATCAATGAGAAGTCTACAGACCTCCAGTCGTCCTCTCCAGGCAGCAAACATTAATGCTGTCTCTCCATCAACCTGGAATAATACAACTGACATCAAAACTTGTCTGATAAACTGGACAATGTTGTGTAATAAATATAAACAAAATATATATCACATGAATCAGTGGTCAAAACTGAATAAAATGACCAGTCACACTTGTATTTATATTCTACATAAACAACAAATAAACATGTTTTGTTGTGAAATGTCAAAACTTCCATTAAACCTGATATCTTAAAAAAAAATTTTTTTTTCAAGAAATGTGTAAAATAATTATATCAATGGATTCAGTAGAACAAATCAAGCAAAATGAGACCCCACTTTATATGATTCTTACACATATTTATTCATTAAAACTGTCTTATTAACAACAGGATTTAGTGTAGATTCAGTATAATTATTAATTTTAATAAAATAATTTTTTTAAAGAAACATGAAAAGGAGTAATATTTTCTGATTCAGAACAATAATATGAGTAAAATGAGACCCCACTTGATATAATTATTACAAATATTTGTTCATTAAACCTGTCTGATTAACAACATGATTTTGTGTTGATTAATAGTAATGTGATCAGACTAAGTAGATAACATACATCTGTGGTGTCGATCTTACATCCTGTATCAATGAGAAGTCTACAGACCTCCAGGTGTCCTCCCCAGGCAGCAAACATTAATGCTGTCCATCTGATAAACTGGACAATGTTGTGTAATAAATATAAACAAAATATATATCACATGAATCAGTGGTCAAAACTGAATAAAATGACCAGTCACACTTGTATTTATATTCTATATAAACAATAAATAAACATGTTTTGTTGTGAAATGTCAAAACTTCCATTTAACCTAATATCTTAAAAAAATTTTTTTTTTCAAGAAATGTGTAAAATAAATATATCAATGCATTCAGTAGAACAAAACAAGTAAAATGAGACCCCACTTTATATGATTCTTACACATATTTATTCATTAAAACTGTCTAATTAACAACAGGATTTAGTGTAGATTCAGTGTAATCATTCATTTTAATAAAATAATTTTTTTAAAGAAACATGAAAAGGAGTAATATTTTCTGATTCAGAACAATAATATGAGTAAAATGAGACCCCACTTGATATAATTATTACAAATATTTGTTCATTAAATCTGTCTAATTAACAACATGATTTTGTGTTGATTAATAGTAATGTGATCAGACTAAGTAAATAACATACTGATGTGGTGTCGATCTTACATCCTGTATCAATGAGAAGTCTACAGACCTCCAGGTATCCTCTCATGGCAGCCAACATTAATGCTGTCCATCCATCCTCCTGGAATAATACAACTGACATCAAAACTTGTCTGATAAACTGGACAATGTTGTGTAATAAATATAAACAAAATACATATCACATGAATCAGTGGTCAAAACTGAATAAAATGACCAGTCACACTTGTATTTATATTCTATATAAACAATAAATAAACATGTTTTGTTGTGATATGTCAAAACTTCCATTAAACCTGATATCTTAAAAAATAATTTTTTTTTCAAGAAATGTGTAAAATAATTATATCAATGGATTCAGTAGAACAAAACAAACAAAATGAGACCCCACTTTATATGATTCTTACAAATATTTGTTCATTAAAACTGTCTAATTAACAACAGGATTTAGTGTAGATTCAGTATAATCATGATAACATTGATAATAGGTATGCTTCACATTCAGTGTTGTGTTTGATAATAGGTATGTTTCACATTCACTGTTGTGTTTGATAATAGGTATGTTTCACATTTAGAGTTGTGTTTGATAATAGGTATGTTTCACAGTCAGTGTTGTGTTTGATAATAGGTATGTTTCACATTCAGTGATGTGTTTGATAATAGGTATGCTTCACATTCAGTGATGTGTTTGATAATAGGTATGCTTCACATTCAGTGTTGTGTTTGATAACATGCATGTTTCACATTCAGTGATGTGTTTGATAATAGGTATGTTTCACATTCAGTGTTGTGTTTGATAATAGGTATGTTTCACATTCAGTGTTGTGTTTGATAACAGGTATGTTTTACCTTCAGTGTTGTGTTTGATAACATGCATGTTTCACATTCAGTGATGTGTTTGATAATAGGTATGCTTCACATTCAGTGATGTGTTTGATAATAGGTATGCTTCACATTCAGTGTTGTGTTTGATAATAGGTATGTTTCACATTCATTGTTGTGTTTGATAATAGGTATGTTTCACATTCAGTGTTATGTTTGATAATAGGTATGTTTCACATTCAGTGTTGTGTTTGATAATAGGTATGTTTCACATTCAGTGTTGTGTTTGATAATAAGTATGTTTCACATTCAGTGATGTGTTTGATAACAGGTATGTTTCACATTCAGTGTTGTCTTTGATAACAGGTATGTTTCATATTCAGTGCTGTATTTGATTACAGTGTCTCACATTCAGTGTTGTGTTTGATATCATTCATGTTTCACATTCAGTGTTGTGTTTGATAATAGGTATGTTTCACATTCAGTGATGTGTTTGATAATATGTATGCTTCACATTCAGTGTTGTGTTTGATAATAGGTATGTTTCACATTCATTGTTGTGTTTGATAATAGGTATGTTTCACATTCAGTGTTATGTTTGATAATAGGTATATTTCACATTCAGTGTTGTGTTTGATAATAGGTATGTTTCACATTCAGTGTTGTTTTTGATAATAAGTATGTTTCACATTCAGTGATGTGTTTGATAACAGGTATGTTTCACATTCAGTGTTGTCTTTGATAACAGGTATGTTTCATATTCAGTGTTGTATTTGATTACAGTGTCTCACATTCAGTGTTGTGTTTGATAACATTCATGTTTCACATTCAGTGTTGTGTTTGATAATAGGTATGTTTCACATTCAGTGTTGTGTTTGATAATAGGTATGTTTCATATTCAGTGATGTGCTTTGATAATAGGTATGTTTCACATTCAGTGTTATGTTTGATAATAGGTATGTTTCACATTCAGTGTTGTGTTTGATAATAAGTATGTTTCACATTCAGTGTTGTGTTTGATAACATGCATGTTTCACATTCAGTGTTGTGCTTTGAGAATAGGTATGTTTCACATTCAGTGTTGTGTTTGATAACATGCATGTTTCACATTCAGTGTTGTGTTTGATAACATGCATGTTTCACATTCAGTGTTATGTTTGATAATAGGTATGTTTCACATTCAGTGTTGTGTTTGATAATAGGTATGTTTCATATTCAGTGATGTGCTTTGATAATAGGTATGTTTCACATTCAGTGTTATGTTTGATAATAGGTATGTTTCACATTCAGTGTTGTGTTTGATAATAGGTATGTTTCATATTCAGTGATGTGTTTGATAATAGGTATGCTTCACATTCAGTGTTGTGTTTGATAATAGGTATGTTTCACATTCATTGTTGTGTTTGATAATAGGTATGTTTCACATTCAGTGTTATGTTTGATAATAGGTATGTTTCACATTCAGTGTTGTGTTTGATAATAGGTATGTTTCACATTCAGTGTTATGTTTGATAATAGGTATGTTTCACATTCAGTGTTGTGTTTGATAATAGGTATGTTTCACATTCAGTGTTGTGTTTGATAATAAGTATGTTTCACATTCAGTGATGTGTTTGATAACAGGTATGTTTCACATTCAGTGTTGTCTTTGATAACAGGTATGTTTCATATTCAGTGTTGTATTTGATTACAGTGTCTCACATTCAGTGTTGTGTTTGATAACATTCATGTTTCACATTCAGTGTTGTGTTTGATAATAGGTATGTTTCACATTCAGTGTTGTGTTTGATAATAGGTATGTTTCATATTCAGTGATGTGCTTTGGTAATAGGTATGTTTCACATTCAGTGTTATGTTTGATAATAGGTATGTTTCACATTCAGTGTTGTGTTTGATAATAAGTATGTTTCACATTCAGTGTTGTGTTTGATAACATGCATGTTTCACATTCAGTGTTGTGCTTTGAGAATAGGTATGTTTCACATTCAGTGTTGTGTTTGATAATAAGTATGTTTCACATTCAGTGTTGTGTTTGATAACATGCATGTTTCACATTCAGTGTTGTGCTTTGAGAATAGGTATGTTTCACATTCAGTGTTGTGTTTGATAATAGGTATGTTTCACATTCAGTGTTGTGTTTGATAACATGCATGTTTCACATTCAGTGCTATGTTTGATAATAGGTATGTTTCACATTCAGTGTTGTGTTTGATAATAGGTATGTTTCATATTCAGTGATGTGCTTTGATAATAGGTATGTTTCACATTCAGTGTTATGTTTGATAATAGGTATGTTTCACATTCAGTGTTGTGTTTGATAATAAGTATGTTTCACATTCAGTGTTGTGTTTGATAACATGCATGTTTCACATTCAGTGTTGTGCTTTGAGAATAGGTATGTTTCACATTCAGTGTTGTGTTTGATAATAGGTATGTTTCACATTCAGTGTTGTGTTTGATAACATGCATGTTTCACATTCAGTGCTATGTTTGATAATAGGTATGTTTCACATTCAGTGTTGTGTTTGATAATAGGTATGTTTCATATTCAGTGATGTGCTTTGATAATAGGTATGTTTCACATTCAGTGTTGTGTTTGATAATAAGTATGTTTCACATTCAGTGTTGTGTTTGATAACATGCATGTTTCACATTCAGTGTTGTGCTTTGAGAATAGGTATGTTTCACATTCAGTGTTGTGTTTGATAATAGGTATGTTTCACATTCAGTGTTGTGTTTGATAACATGCATGTTTCACATTCAGTGCTATGTTTGATAATAGGTATGTTTCACATTCAGTGTTGTGTTTGATAATAGGTATGTTTCATATTCAGTGATGTGCTTTGATAATAGGTATGTTTCACATTCAGTGTTATGTTTGATAATAGGTATGTTTCACATTCAGTGTTGTGTTTGATAATAAGTATGTTTCACATTCAGTGTTGTGTTTGATAACATGCATGTTTCACATTCAGTGTTGTGCTTTGAGAATAGGTATGTTTCACATTCAGTGTTGTGTTTGATAATAGGTATGTTTCACATTCAGTGTTGTGTTTGATAACATGCATGTTTCACATTCAGTGCTATGTTTGATAATAGGTATGTTTCACATTCAGTGTTGTGTTTGATAATAGGTATGTTTCATATTCAGTGATGTGCTTTGATAATAGGTATGTTTCACATTCAGTGTTATGTTTGATAATAGGTATGTTTCACATTCAGTGTTGTGTTTGATAATAGGTATGTTTCATATTCAGTGATGTGCTTTGATAATAGGTATGTTTCACATTCAGTGTTGTGTTTGATAATAGGTATGTTTCACATTCAGTGTTGTGTTTGATAATAAGTATGTTTCACATTCAGTGTTGTGTTTGATAACATGCATGTTTCACATTCAGTGTTGTGCTTTGAGAATAGGTATGTTTCACATTCAGTGTTGTGTTTGATAATAGGTATGTTTCACATTCAGTGTTGTGTTTGATAACATGCATGTTTCACATTCAGTGTTATGTTTGATAATAGGTATGTTTCACATTCAGTGTTGTGTTTGATAATAGGCATGTTTCACATTCAGTTTTATGTTTGATAATTGGTATGTTTCACATTCAGTGTTGTGTTTGATAATAGGCATGTTTCACATTCAGTGTTGTGTTTGATTACAGTGTCTCACATTCAGTGTTGTGCTTGATAACATTCATGTTTCACATTCAGTGTTGTATTTGATAATAGGTATGTTTCACATTCAGTGTTGTGTTTTGATAATAGGTATGTTTCACATTCAGTGTTGTGTTTGATAATAGGTTTGTTTCACATTCAGTGTTGTGTTTGATAATAAGTATGTTTCACATTCAGTGATGTGTTTGATAACAGGTATGTTTCACATTCAGTGTTGTCTTTGATAACAGGTATGTTTCACATTCAGTGTTGTATTTGATTACAGTGTCTCACATTCAGTGTTGTGTTTGATAACATTCATGTTTCACATTCAGTGTTGTGTTTGATAATAGGTATGTTTCACATTCAGTGTTGTGTTTGATAATAGGTATGTTTCATATTCAGTGATGTGCTTTGATAATAGGTATGTTTCACATTCAGTGTTATGTTTGATAATAGGTATGTTTCACATTCAGTGTTGTGTTTGATAACATGTATGTTTCACATTTAGTGTTGTGTTTGATAATAGGTATGTTTCACATTCAGTGTTGTGTTTGATAACAGTGTTTCACATTCAGTGTTGTGTTCGATTACAGTGTTTCACATTCAGTGTTGTGTTTGATAATAGGTTTGTTTCAAATTCAGTGTTGTGCTTTGATTATAGGTATGTTTCACATTCAGTGTTGTGTTTGATAATAGGTATGTTTCACATTCAATGTTGTGTTTGATTACAGTGTTTCACATTCAGTGTTATGTTTGATAACAGGTATGTTTCACATTCAGTGTTGTGTTTGATAACAGGTATGTTTCACATTCAGTGTTATGTTTGATAACATTCATGTTTCACATTCAGTGTTGTGTTTGATAATAGGTATGTTTCACATTCAGTGTTGTGCTTTGATAATAGGTATGTTTCACATTCACTGTTATGTTTGATAATAGGTATGTTTCACATTCAGTGTTATGTTTGATAATAGGTATCCTTCACATTCAGTGTTTTGTTTGATAATAGGTATGTGTCACATTTAGTGATGTGTTTGATTGCAAGCATGTTTCGCTTTGTTTACAGGTATGTCTCACATATTCACTTTTAGTGATGTGCTTTGATTACAGGTATGTTTCAAATTCCCCAATGAGCTCTGATTACAGGTAGGTTTTTCATTAAGTGTTGTACTTTGATTGCAGGTAGCTTTCACATTCACTGTTGTATTTTGATCACAGGTCGGATTTACATTGAGTGATATGTACAACCTTGTAGTTGTGTGTTTTATAATTTTATGTACAACCTTGTAGTTGTGTGTTTTATACTTTTTATGTACAACCTTGTAGTTGTGTGTTTTATACTTTATATCTACAACCTGCGATGTTTTTAAGTGACTTGACTTGTATTTTTGTACTGTAATAATTGGTTATTTTGAAATGTCTTATAGTTGTGTTTTTTATTCTTTTATGCATTTTCTTACTGTCATGTTTGAGTGACTTTTTTTATGTGTTTTATTCTGTTGATGTTCTTACTGTCATGTTTAAGTGACTAACAGTTGTGTGTTTTATTCTGATAATGTTCTTACTGTTATGTTATGAAGTGACTAACAGTTGAGTATTTTATTCTGTTGATGTTCTTACTGTCATGTTTTGAAGTGACTAACAGTTGTGTGTTTTATTCTGTTTATGTTCTTACTGTCATGTTAAAGTGACTTATATTTATGTGTTTTATTCTGTTTATGTTCCTACTGTCATGTTTTGTAGTGACTTATAGTTATGTGTTTTATTCTGTTTATGTTCTTACTGTCATGTTTAAGTGACTTATATTTATGTGTTTTATTCTGTTTCTGTTCTTACTGTCATGTTTAAGTGACTTATATTTATGTGTTTTATTCTGTTTATGTTCTTACTGTCATGTTTAAGTGACTTATATTTATGTGTTTTATTCTGTTTATGTTCTTACTGTCATGTTTAATTGACTTATATTTATGTGTTTTATTCTGTTTATGTTTTGTAGTGACTTATAGTTATGTGTTTTATTCTGCTAATGTTCTTACTGTCATGTTTTGAAGTGACTAACAGTTGTGTGTTTTATTCTGTTTATGTTCTTACTGTCATGTTTTGAAGTGACTAACAGTTGTGTATTTTGTTCTGTTTCTGTTCTTACTGTCATGTTAAAGTGACTTATATTTATGTGTTTTATTCTGTTTATGTTCCTACTGTCATGTTTTGTAGTGACTTATAGTTATGTGTTTTATTCTGTTTATGTTCTTACTGTCATGTTTAAGTGACTTATATTTATGTGTTTTATTCTGTTTATGTTTTGAGGTGACTTATATTTATGTGTTTTATTCTGTTTATGTTTTGAGGTGACTTATATTTATGTGTTTTATTCTGTTTATGTTTTGAGGTGACTTATATTTATGTGTTTTATTCTGTTTATGTTTTGAGGTGACTTATATTTATGTGTTTTATTCTGTTTATGTTCTTACTGTCATGTTTAAGTGACTTATATTTATGTGTTTTATTCTGTTTATGTTCTTACTGTCATGTTTAAGTGACTTATATTTATGTGTTTTATTCTGTTTATGTTTTGTAGTGACTTATAGTTATGTGTTTTATTCTGCTAATGTTCTTACTGTCATGTTTTGAAGTGACTAACAGTTGTGTGTTTTATTCTGTTTATGTTCTTACTGTCATGTTTTGAAGTAACTAACAGTTGTGTGTTTTATTCTGTTTATGTTCTTACTGTCATCTTTTGAAGTGACTAACAGTTGTGTATTTTATTCTGTTTATGTTCTTACTGTCATGTTTTGAAGTGACTAACAGTTGTGTGTTTTGTTCTGTTTATGTTCTTACTGTCATCTTTTGAAGTGACTAACAGTTGTGTATTTTATTCTGTTTATGTTCTTAATGTCATGTTTTGAAGTGACTAACAGTTGTGTGATTTATTCTGTTTATGTTCTTACTGTCATGTTTTGAAGTGACTAACAGTTGTGTGTTTTATTCTGTTTATGTTCTTACTGTCATGTTTTGAAGTGACTAACAGTTGTATATTTTATTCTGTTGATGTTCTTACTGTCATGTTTTGAAGTGACTAACAGTTATGTGTTTTATTCTGTTTATGTTCTTACTGTCATGTTTTGAAGTGACTAACAGTTGTGTGATTTATTCTGTCAATGTTCTTACTGTTATGTTTTGAAGTGACTAACAGCTGTGTTTTATTCTGTTGATGTTCTTACTGTTATGTTTTGAAGTGACTAACAGTTGAGTATTTTATTCTGTTTATGTTCTGACTGTTATGTTTTGAAGTGACTAACAGTTGTGTATTTTATTCTGTTTTATGTTCTTACTGTCATGTTTTGAAGTGACTTGCAGTTGTGATTTGTACTGTATTAATCTGCTGTATTGTTAACCAGCAAGGTTAAAGTTATTTAAAGTAAGTGTTTTATACTGTTTATGTTCAACTGTCAGGTTTTGAAGTAACATGCAATTGTATTTCATTCTATTACAATTTGCTGTATTTTGAAGTAACATGTAGTTATGTGATTTATATTGCTCAAGTAAGATCTACTATGTTCTGAAGTTATCTGTAGTTGTGTGGTTTTTTTTTACTGTACATAATTAATTTGCTCTAGTACTAATTTGGATGTTACTACTGTACCTAATGAGACTGTTTTACCTACCGATTGATATTCAATGTCTGCTTTATTCTCTAGGCATATTTTCACATTGTTTACATTTCCAGTCTGAGCATCTGCAAGAAGTTTCTGTAAGTAAAACATAGATTTTACATTTAATAGATTGTAATGAAAAATAAATGAAACAACTGTTAAATAAAGCAATAATTATTTATTCTCCTGCATGACAAATAACTATATAAATCGGGGGTATCCTCACTTCAAATAAAATTCAGGCAGAGAGGATATGTACCAATTATCAGTTTGCCTGCATATTGACATTGTTAAGAATCAGCTGTGATTCACAATATGATGCCCTCACAGATGCAAAGTGTTATTTTAACATACACAAAGTTGAGCATGGGAGCACATAGGTCTATGGTTCACTGTAGGAGGAGTTATCTGGAAACGCTATGCGCCTCTTAAATATGCAAATATATACTCCAAAAAATGATAAAGTTCAACCATCTCCCAAAAGAGCAAATATTAATCAAAATCTAAACCCTGACGACATGCACACCTTCAATATATGTTCAAACAGCCAGCAAAGTTAAATCTTCCTAGCATTCAAACTGTAGGAGGAGTTATCTGGAATAACTTCACTACAAACCAGTAAAAGTCTGAAATGGCCTATATCTGTACTCGACTGTATTGATTTTTACTCGACCAGTCTGAATTGGTCTGAATTTTACTCGACATTACTCGACCCCAGTCTTAACCATACTCGACTGTACTTATTTGTACTTGACCCTTATCTTTGCCATTGAAAATAGTCTGAACTATTACTCGACCAGTCTGAAACAGTCTTAACCCATTCTCGACCTATTTTTTTCAGTCTAAACCTTACTCGACCAAAGGCCTGAACAATACTCGACCAGTCTGAACCATACTTGACCAAAAAACCTCTACTTTTTCTAAATTTTAACTGTTAAAATAAATTTCTTTTGAACTGACATGACAACAGCCACAATAAAATAAAGATATATTATAAAAACAGATTTTTACATTCTTACATGATTCTCAGATTTATCGAATAGAGATAGTTAAATCAAATTATCTTATATAATAATTTAATTATATTAATTTTAAAGTTTAAGAGTTTTGTTAAAAAAAAATTTTCTTTTACCTAAAAACCACACCGGTCTATACTCAGGGTAATTAAACCTTATTAAGGTGCTTCTTGTTTGGCATGTGTTTTTTTTTAAATTAATTTTCCTAAATTCTTAAATAAAAACTACATAGGTTTCATGGTAACGTACAAAAATGTACAATAGTTATATAATTATCTTTTTAATGAGGTAACAACAGCCAACAAATTCACTGAAATTGTTTAACCTTATTTTAGAAATATATCTATTATTATAATTTGGGATATATTATATTCAATATATATCAAAAAGGGATAAAAATTAAAGAAATTAATTAAATTGTTCTTCTGATTAGTGGTGAAGTATAAAGTAATACCTCCTGCTTAGGGAAAACTCATGAAAAAGATCACACCTGGTCAGAGATTATTAAATTCTAAATAACATTCATTCCAAATTGCAACATCCTGTGAAACTTAAATCGCAAGGCCTTTTGAATTCACTAGATAAGTAATTCACAAGTTTAAGAAAAATAGGGCTTTCTTTTTACCTGTAAAACACACATGTACTGAGGTGATTAAACCTTATTTAAGTGCTTTTTGTATGCCATGTCTTTAATTTTGACAAAAATTATTTAAATTTAATTGAAATAAATTTTTACTGTAACTTTGGAACACATTTCCTTTTTTAAAAGTTTATCACAGGATTACTATGGAAGTTCTATTATCATGATTATATCAAATTCTTGGTTTAACAAAACAAAGGTGTCATTTTTAAAATTTATTAAGTTAACGTTGCTTTATATGCTATTTTATATATATTTTAATAAAAAAAATGTTCACTGCATTATTAACTAAACTCAACTGACACCATAAATCTATACGAGGTGTAAGTTAATGGTAAAAATTGTCCAGTAACCATAAAATATATCTGAAACATTCAAAAAATTTTGAATAACATTGAAAATATTAGTCACAATTCAGTTTTGAGATTATTTCATCAGCTTGTTTTATTTTTATTTCAAAGGATATATATATGTATGTATATAAGTGTTGAATATGGTGATGAAGTTATATTATGTTTATTGTGAAATTTTGGTTTCAATGCTATATTGAATACATTTTTAATTTCAAATTGTTGTTCAAATTTCTAGCCAGGGGAAATAGCTGTTATTAAAAACAGTTCTTAAATTGATGAAATACAATAGATAGATACAAAAAAAAGGTCTAGGTTGGTTAAGACTTGGTCGAGTATGGTTCAGACTAGGTCGAGTATGGTTCAGACTAGGTCGAGCATGGTTCTGATGCATATAAAATGGTTAAGTACTGGTCGAGTAAGGGTTGAGTACAAGTTCAGGCTGTTAAGTATGGTTCAGACTACAGTCGAGTATTATCAAGTAAATTTCAGACCAATTCAGACTGGTAGAGTAAAAATCAGTACAGTCGAGTACAGATATAGGCCATTTCAGACTTTAACTGGTTTGTAGTGCTATATACCCATAATGGGACGGAAGGACAGACAGGGGTAAAACAATATGCCCCCAGCTTTCAGTTGATGGGGCATAAAAAAAACTTTTGGATAACAATGGTGCGTTGTGTCAATTTACACTTTATACCATAAAATAGATGTATTTTTTCAACTAACGAACTTAACAATTGCAAGAGGAGAGAACCTCTGTAAATTTTATTTATTAAAAATTGTCCAATATTTTCTCTAACAACTCAATAGGGTTATGTATTTGACATTGTAAACAAGCATTCTGAAGGTACTAGATATAGAATAAACCTTAAGAGAGTGTATACACTTATATTTAAAAAACATTTGATACATTTCTGAAAATGAAAAAACCTAAAACACTAAACTGCCACTAAATTTTGCATGATAATCAGCTCCAAGTTACTGACACCATGACCTCAGAGGATTTCTGGCAAGTTACTAATGATTTATAAAAAATAAATGGGGAATGTGTCCATGGGAAACAGATGATGCCCCCGCTTATAAAGGGCCATAACTCAAGAACTGTAAAAGTGACACTACCCAAATTTCAACTTGATCTGAGTTTTGTGGTAATAAGAATTTTTTATAAGTTTCATAACATTTAGTTGAGGTAAACTTAAATTAGAGAACAGAAACGAAAAATTCAGCAATTCTTCCATTTTTAAAGAGGCATAACTCTAGAACAGTAGATTGATTGATGGTTGGTTGCTTAACGTCCACTAGAACAGTAGAAGTGATGCCACCAAAATTCAACCTTTATCTGTGTTTTGTGGTAATTAGCATTGTGCATAAGTTTCATAACATTTGGTTGAGGCAAACTAAAGTTAGAGAACAGAAACAAATATTTCAGCAATTTTGAGATTTGTTAAGGGGCATAACTCTAGAACGGTAAAAGTGATGCCAACAAAATTCAAACTTGATCTGTGTATTGTGGTAATTAGCATTGTGCATAACATTTGGTTGAGGCAAACTAAAGTTAGAGAACAGAAACAAATATTTCAGCAATTTTGAGATTTGTTAAGGGACATAACTCTAGAACGGTAAAAGTGATGCCAACAAAATTCAAACTTGATCTGTGTATTGTGGTAATTAGCATTGTGCATAACATTTGGTTGAGGCAAACTAAAGTTAGAGAACATAAACTAATATTTCAGCAATTTTTCCATTGGAAAGGGGCATAACTTTTAGAACGGTAAAAGTGACACCACCAAAATTCAAACTTGATCTGTGTTTTGTGATAATAAATATTGTGGATAAGTTTCATAACATTTGCATGATTTGGTTGAGGTAAACTCGTTAGAGAACGGAAACAAAAAAATAAGCAATTTTTTCATTTGTAAAGGAGCATAACTCTAGAATGGTAAAAGTGACCCCACCAAAATTCAAACTCGATCTGTGTTTTGTGGTAATAAGCATTGTGGATAAGTTTCATATCATTTGGTTGAGGCAAACTAAAGTTAGAGAACGGTAACCAATTTTGGGACGTACGGACGGGCGTACGGACATACAGACGGACAAGGGTAAAACTTAATGCCCCCTCCGCTATGGCGGGCAGGGGTTTCATTATTTTTTTAGACTGGAGGTACCTTTGAGATTATAGGGGGAACCAAACCCAAATGGCGAGGGGTGTGGGGGCCGCTTAAGGCCCCCAGTGGGCCCAGGGCTAGCCCTGGTAGGGGGGCCAGGGGGGCAAAGCCCCCCGGAATCTCCTGGATTTTAGGGATTTCAGCCTTAATTTTTTACTTAAAAAGGGTAAATCTGTAATATTTGCTTTAATTTTGGGTAAGTTAACATTGAATTGTTTTTTTTCTAGAGTAATCATCTGAAAATACATTGCTTATAATTATTTTGTAATCAGTTATAAAATATGTATGACCATGGAAGTATAAATATAACACAATATAATGCAGGGGTTTCATGTGAAATGTTGTTAAAACGTTTTGTTTGTTTTTATACTTTAGTCTTTTATTAAATGTTTTGCATTTGTTCAATTTTGTGAATGAAATTTCATAAGTTCACGTAACATAGTATATTATTAAAAAGAATTGATAATAAAACTTGTTGTAACTTTTTTGTATTGCTTTGTTATAATCATAACTGTGTCAATTGTTTGTGTAAGTAATTAGTGTCATATATCGTGAATCTGTCAGACTGCCACCTGTAGAGTAATTATTACTTTTTTTTTTCAAAAATGAAATAAAACAATTAAATATTGGCTTCACTTTAAATTTTCCGTGTTAATTCAAATTGTTTCACGAAGTCTTACACTAAAAATTTCAATCACAACATAGAACACATATCGAGAAAACGGAGATCAGTGACAACGTCCAACGGGAAACGAACTGATTTGATACGATTAACGATTTTCTGAATTTCATAGAATGTTCACCTTTATTAAACCTTTTATTCATAAAATAATCTGTGATACAAGCTGCTTTCCTTTTATTAGACATAATATTGCTGTTGTTGTTTAAATTCATCAACAATTTGCCGCTTGAAAATATACTGCTAAATCGTCGCATTTTAAAGCGCTCTTACGATAATGATACAGACACATGGTTTATAATTATCACTTCTCCTACTTTGGAGGTGTGCCTAAATTGGCAATAGATAGATCTATACTTTAACGCGGACCTCGACGAAGACACCTATAAACATACACATGAACGGCGTAGAACGGAGATTATCAAGGAAAGAAAGAAATTAGATTTGAACGATCTTCAAAAGAATTTTACACATTTTTTTTTTGTATTTTATTTTTTCTGCCGGTACCAAACGATTCCGTAGGCGGGTAAAAGTACCGGGTACCGGGTCTTAATGAATGCACTGGGCAGGGGCATAACAATAAAACAGGCAAGAAATTTCATGCAGTTTATGTCTATCTTTGCTATGAGTTGTTATTAGCAACACCTTAGTCAAATGTTTGTAGTACATTTTTCTTTGTCCCAATCTTTGATCTTGTAATATCTTTTTTTGTAGGTCACGTAGAATTCTACTAGTTTGTATCTCAAATCATCACATACATGTATTTTTGGTAAGAAAATGGAAATAAAAGGTCACATGACAATTGGACTTAAAAGTAAATCTTACCTCATTCCAATATTCCATTATATCCTAAAAATAGAAAAAAAAATATTTCAAATATATACTGTTGTAGTTATCATTGAGTTATAATTGTTAATGCCAATTGAAAATACATGATCATTATGGACTTGAAAATTACTGACCTAATATTTTCAGATATTAATCTAATCCAAAAACATGTAATACTAGCATCTAAAAGACTATCTCAACTTTTCTGCACTATTTGAAACTTGTGTCGCTCACCTGGTGAAAATATTGCTAGTTTGCTCACTACGATTTTTATATGCACATACTAGTTACTCTTTGTGTTGCTGATATTTATGCAATTTACATATTTAACCTAGCTCCTATAGTTTTTAGATAACAGCCAAAACTGCAAACATGAGTACACACGCTGAAATGCCAGAAATACATGTACATCTTACAATCATTCCATACACCAAATATAGTTGATCTTTTGCTAGTAGTATACAAGACAGACCAAATCATTTAAAATTTTATATTGACAAATGAACCATGAAAATTAGGTAAAGGACAGATGAACCCTGTCAGACAGACATATACACCTTACAATCATTCCATGGATCAAATATAGTTGACCTATTGCATATAGTATTTAAGGAAAAAACTAAACCAGTAAAACATCATAGTGACCAATGAACCATGAAAAAGATGTAAAGTTGAGATGAAACCTGCAAGAAAGGTTTTCCTGTTTGAATTGTTTTACACTAGTCATTTTTGGGTCTTTATAGCTTGCTGTTCAGTGAGTGTGAGCCAAGGCTCGGTGTTGAAGGCCGTACTTTGACCTATAATGGTTTACTTTTTACACATTGTGCCTGGGATGGAGAGTTGTCTCATTTGCACTCATATCACATCTTCTTATATCTATATAGTATATACACTTTAAAGTCATTCCATACACCAAATATAGTTGACCCATTGCTTATAGTTTAAGAAAAACGACCAAAACAAAAAACTTAACATTGAGAAATGACCCATGAAAATGAGGTCAAGGTCAAATAAAACCTGCCAGACTAACTTGTACATAATAAAATATTTCCATACATCATATATAGTCGACCTATTGCATACAGTACTAGAAAAACAGACCAAAACAAAACAACTTAACTATATCCACTGAACCATGAAAATGAGGTCAAAGTCAGATGACACCTGGCAGTTGGACATGTACAACTTACAATCGTTCCATACACCAAATATAGTAGACCTATTGCTTATATGCTTATTTCTGAGATATGGACTTGACCACGAAAACTTAACCTTGTTCACTGATCTGTGAAATGAGGTCAAGGTCAAGTGAAAACTATCTGACAGGCATGATGACCTTGCAAGGCACGCACATACCAAATATAGTTATCCTATTACTCATAATAAGAGAGAAATTAACAATACAAAAAAACTTGAATTTTTTTTCAAGTAGTTACTGAACCATGAAAATGTGGTCAAGGAAAATTGACATATCATATCATATGACAGCCATTGCCGCTGGATCACTATCCCTGTCGAGCTTTCTGCGAGAGAAGTCGCAGGCATAAACAAAAACCTGTAAAAATCAATATTTCAGGGGCAATAACTCCAAAACTTGTAGTTAAAAAAAACTGAGTAAAAAGATCTTGTCATGCTAATCGTAATTATAGTTTACACTTTTAACCTATAGCTAGCTCCTATAGTTTTACAAATAACAGGCAAAAATGAAAAAAAATTGGAAAAAATGTATTTTTCAGTGGCAATAACTCAAAAACACAGGTTTACATATTTTTTTCAACATTTCCAGTTTTATAAAATCTTGTCAAGCTGACCATTTTCGTAATTTACACTTTTAACCTAGCGCCTACATGTTTATCAATAATAACAGGATAACACTTTAAATAAATGTGCTTTGCGAGCGCAGCTGGATACGACGGCTGAGGTCCAACCCTGAACAGTTGGGGCAAAAATGGACACAATATTCAAGCTTGATACAGGTATGAATTTGGATTGTAATTAAATATTTGACACATTTTAGGTTTCTGACACAGAATAAATGTAGTCAAAGAACTTGAAATTGGTTATATGATTTGAATTTATATTCAATTGAAGTTTTCTTGCTGTTGTGCAATACACTGTGCTGTTGCGCAATACTTAGAAAATCTGTTTTCAGACTATATACAAAGAATTAGCAAAATAAATTGTGACCCCCAATTTTTTTTTTGGAAAATTGATACTTTCTTTAATCTTGAGGGAAAAAATTGACCCCACCCCCAAAAAAAATTTTGTTTACCCACCCTCCAAAAAAATAATGGAAAATTGATAATTTCTTAAATCTTGAGGAAAAAAAATTGACCCCCCAAAAAATTTTTTTATGTTTACCATGTTTACCCCCCTCCAAAAAAAAATATTTGAAGAAATTTTCTTTTTGTAAAAGTGGTACAATTTAAGAGACATCCATACATTTAAACACAATTGTCTGAAAACTTAGAAAAATGCTTGTTTTGGCCCCTAATTCCTGAAAGGTGTGGGCAATTACCCCCAAAATGAATACCAACCTTCTACTTGTGGTATTGAACCTTGTGGTACAATTTCAGAGCAATCAAAATACTTATACACAAGTTATTGTCCTGAAACTAGAAAAATGCTTGTTTTGGGCCCCTAATTCCTAAACTGGTTGGGACCATCACCCCCAAAAACAATCCCAACCTTCCTTTTGTGGTATTGAACCTTTTGGTTAAATTTCATAGAGATCTGTACACTTAACCAAATGTCTTCGGACGACGACAACGTGATAGCAATATACGAACGCAAATTTGTTAACATTCTATAAACGTCGCGCAGTCAAAACAATTACCAGTTAATACAAAGTTAACATGGGAAGACGGACAGACGACCGACGCAAAGGGATGGCAAAAGCTCATATGGCCTTTTAGGCCAGCTGAGCTAAAAACTAAACTCAAAACCTTGTATATCTAATTACATACCTAAATGAGGTCGTATAAAAATGATTTTTTTTCAGGGGCCATAACTCTAAAACAGGGTGACAGATTTTTCTCCAATTTTTAGGTTAGATACATTTTGTTGTGTTGCAACTTTTTGCAATTTACACTTTTAACCTAACTCCTATAGTTTTTATGATAGCAGCCACCAACTGTGAAAAATTCTAAAATAGATAGTTCAGAGGCAAAAACAAGAGGTTAGTTTTTACCAAATTTTCAGGGTGGATACATCTTGTCGTGCTGATAATTTTTACAGTTTACACTTTTGACCTAGCTCCTATAATTTTGGTAGATCTTACTTTATGGAACATTTTTGCCACTAAAGGTTTCTCTCTATCTATCATAGTTTCTGCATCTTTCAAGGGCAATAACTCCAATAAGGGATTAATTTACAATTTTGTTCAGTTCGACTTATTTGTAGATTTTTTTAAACTTGCTGAACATTTTTGCTGTTGAAATTTCTCTTTATCTTTAATAGTTTTCTAGATAAAATCGAAAAACAGAAACTTTAATAACAATTATTATTTCAGGGGCAGTAACTCCAAATAGGGTTGTCCCATTGGTTTGAAATTTTCGTGGCAGATAAATCTTTACATGCTTATCACATGTATCATTTTTATTTAGGTCAGTTTTGCTTTAACTGCTTTTTTTTCAGATATAAGCCATAAACTTCTTTTTTTGCCCTATGTTTTATTTTCTTTGTCATGGCGGTCATGTTTCTTGATAGACAAAAAAACACAAACTTTATACTAGATACCTTAAGGATAATTCAGCCCAAGTTTGATAAAATTGGTCCCGTTTTCAGAGAAGATCTCTGAAAAAGTTAACATGGGAAGACGGACAGACGACCGACGCAAAGGGATGGCAAAAGCTCACATGGCCTTTTAGGCCAGCTGAGCTAAAAACTAAACTCAAAACCTTGTATATCTAATTACATACCTAAATGAGGTATTCTACAAACAGGGTGTGAAAACAAAAACATCAATTGCACTTTTGACGACCTAAAAATTTCAAAAGTTATATTTACCAGCATTAAGACTATATTGAATTCATTAATTTCCAGCCTCTCTAAAATAAACTGTCCACAAATGAGCAAGGCAATCATGGCAATCACATTAAACAATTGTTCTTTTTACACTCTCTTTGTGTGCCTGTCCATATCGAGGAACCTGTAGTATAGTGGTTGTTGTTGGTAGCTGTATTCCCTCCCCTGTTTTCATTGTTGTAATACATGTAATAGGCTGTTGATTTTCTCTTTTGATTTGTTACACATTTTATCATATCAGTGCTGTTTATAGATTTTTATATTATTATATGGTATTGGTTTTGTGCAATATCGGAGGCTATTGAGAGACCTGTCAATCTGATGTTCAGTAGTTGTCGTTTGTTGATGTGGTTCATAAATGTTTCTCGTTTTTTATATAGATTAGACCGTTGGTTTTCCCGTTTGAATGGTTTTACACTAGTAATTTTTTGGGGCCCTTTATAGCTTGCTGTTCGCTGTGAGCCAAGGCTCCTTGTTGAAGGCCGATCTACGACCTATAATGGTTTAATTTTATAAATTGTGACTTGGAGGGAGAGTTGTCTCATTGGCACTCATACCTAATCTTCTTATATCTATTATCTGTAGTTGTTTATATCTTTGTCCTTCTGACTAGGGATAACTGTTTCGCCATCATTCATACAACATCTCTTAATTAAAGAACCTTTGTGAGCACACTTACATACCCAACACCCCCACATTGTCACTGGGCAAACAAAATCTCGCCCAATTTCTAAGTTCAAAGACAAATAACTCCTACAAAAGTCAACTGATAAAAATTTCATGAGTATATGCACATCTACATATTATGTCCTAATTATCTACAAAGTTTCATGAAATTCTGTTGTGTGGTTTTAGAGGAGTTGCTATGACAAGAACAGGACTGAGAGACGGACGGACTGACTGACTGACTGACTAACGGACTGACGGATGAGTCAAACACATTATACCCTACTGAACTTTGTTCCATGGGGTATAATTATTATATAACAAAATGA